AAGAGTCGGTGCTGGACTGGCGCGAGTGCGAGCCGGAGTCAGGCTCTTTGAAGAACGATTCGGGCAGGATCTTCTTCCGCCACGAGCTGGGCTTGGGGTTCATGACCGAGTTGAAGAGGGCTTCGAGGTCCGTGTCTAGGTCCGGCGTGACATGGATCACTTGCTGCCCGGGCGGTGGGAGCGGATGGGGCGCTGAGGCCGGATTCATCTTCTACAAGGAAAAAGGTCAGATCAGCCTTTTATTTAAAGTCGGAGTAGGAGATACGGGGAGAAAATGGAGAGAAAAGAAAAAGATACAGATACGTATCCGACTCGAGATCCCAGACACTCAGCCAGGAGACCAGCCGCATGGGGGAGGAGTCCCTCCTGGCCTCCAGAATTATGAAACTTTCTTGGAGCAAAGAAGTTACTGAGAGAAGGAAGAGCGGGGAGAGGGGGGGAGGAAACTGCACTCCGGACGTTGCTGAACTGTTGGTGGCAAAGAACAGGTCGCAGCTCTACAGGGCAGGCAGCCCCCCAAAGGAATCTCAACCCAAGCCAACTCCACATCTCGACCCCGGAAGCCCGAGGAGCCGGCCACCCTGGAGTGGTGCGCGGGCGCGCTCCAGCGGGCACTACCTGGGCGCGCAGCGAAGCCAAGTCTGGGCGTGCGGGGCAGCCGTCGGGCCTGGGTCGTTCGGGGTGCGTCCCGATCTTGCAGGATTGGAGCCGGAGCCCGGTTGGCAAATCCCGACCGGCCTCGGTACCTGGCAGTCGAGGAGCTTCGGCTTTCACATCCCCCAATCTGGTCTCAGGCCTTCGCGCTCTTGAAAGAGGAGGAGAAGCAGACAGCGCGGCCGCCGCGGCTCTCCGACTGTCCCATAAACAAAGTTTGGAGCAAACTCCCACTCCCAGGAAAGAGGCGGGCCCGAAAGTTGAGCTGTTGAATTATGCATGATTGCAAGTCCTGAGCCTGCCTGCCCCCGCTTGTCCCTCCTCCTCCTTCTCCTCCTCCTCCTCCTTCCTACTCCTTCCTACTCCTCCTCCTCCTCCTTCCACCCTCACTCCAGCTCCAGGAAACCTTGGGTGTGATGGGTACTTTGCAGGCTAAGTGGAGAATGTTGCCCCCCACCCACTCTTGGTCGCGCGGACCTCTCCCGCGGAGCTCTGGAAGTGCATTCCTTTGAGTTTACCGCGGACTTGGGTCGGATCAAAGGGAAAGTGACCTGGGCCTGTTTAATCAAGGGCTTGTGGACCGAAACCAAGGCCTGGGGCGGCGGAGGGCTCGCGGGTGAGGGGCCCTGGCGGAGGAAGGGCGGGTCCTTGGCGCCGCGCCCTCCCTTCGCGCCCGGTGCTGAGGCCGGGAGCGACGGGAGCGCCGCATTAATCCAGGGTTCTGCCCGAGGGCGGGACCGGGTGCGCCCCTGCACGCGGAGACACCAAGGCCAGCCTTCATACAGGAGGCTGCTTGTGACCATATTTGGTCTGGCGAGGAGGCATCTGGGTTGTTTGGCTTTCAGTTGTCTGCTGGAGCGCAGAGGGTGCCCAGAAAGTGCCTCTCGTTAGGGATGCGGCTCCACCAACAGGCGCGTTGTAAACAAACAACCTTCAGCCCACTCTTCAATCCTTAGTTTCCTCTCGGGGGGAACTCAGGTCACTAGAGATGGAGAAGAAATTTACTCAAAGCCGGGTGCTGGAATGGGAGAGCAGTCGTCCCCTCCCCCGCCACATCCGCGCGGGTGGTGGGAGGATTGGAATGTCCCTGACGCCCACCAGAGAGCCTGGAACCGGGATGGAACCCAAGCAGGTGGCTGGGAGTAAAGAGGGTGCGCCAGTGACCCGGAAAAAGCCACTCACCCTCCCACGACTGGATCTGGGCGAGGGTGGAGCCCCCTACCCCTAGATCCAGCCTGGCTAGACAGCTGGGAAAAGTAGTAGGCGGCCTTGCCCTCCGGAGAAGTTCAATTCCATCTCTCCTCTCTCCATTGGGGGAAGCGGAGAGTGGCTACGAGGTAAGTCATGCTTCAAAATACCCCTAACCCGCCCCATTTGATTCATATCAAAGTTTATAAAATAAGTCAAAAAACGCAATATATGTAAAGCACTTTGAACAGGACCCAGCCCACCTACATATCTGTTTGTTAAATAAAATAGAATTGTATTAAGTGTAAGTATTGTGCCTCAACATTTTTATAAGGGTGAAAAGAAGTCAAAATTAAAATCTAAAATTGTCTTGAAGAAACAATTTACAGGAAAGATAAGGCCACCCTATAATTTTGCCTTGAAAAAGGTAGGAGTATTTGGGGCCACTCCCTCAATGGCTGCTGCCCATCACTGCCCCCAAAATAGAGCAGAGCCCACCAAAGTGAACCACCTTCCCCCTCCCCCCATTATCTGTTCTTGCTGGTATACTCTGATTCCAGACTCCCCACAAAGTGGTAAAGATCAGGCTGCCCTGGCTGATGGATTCATGGGCAGGGCACATACCTAGTTTGCCAGTTCATCCCCAGACAGGGCACATTCAGAAGGCAGCTGATCAAGGTTCCCTCTCTTTCTCTTCTCTCTCTTCTTCTTTTCTCTCTCTCCTCTCTTCCCCCCCCCCCCCTCTCTCTCTAAGATCAATAAGCATGCCCTCAGGTGAGGATTAAAAAAAAAAATCAGGGCTGCCTTAGGGAAAGACAGCCATGTGGATCACCTTCAAAGTTAAGCAGAACATGACTCTTTTCAGGAGACTGGAATCTTGGGTTTCCCATACAGCAAGTCCTGTTCCCACAGGACCCACATAGGGAAAGGGGAAACCACCAAAAGTCACTCCATAGGAAAGAGCATATTTGCAAAAGCTATCTTCAGAAGCCCCCAATTTTGACAATTTTATTTATAAAACTACAGGAAGTGACAGGGACCATATGGTTACTAATTCAGAAGCCACAAGGCCATCCTCATGATTAGAGGATGGAAACTTGAGGCTAGCCCTACTCCAGGAAGGTTGTCACCCAAGAAGGAAGACCCTGCTTTGTAAAGAGTACCTGGCTGTTACAAGAGAAGGAAATGCTGAGGGAGCCATGAAGCTAATCCTGCAGTGAGAATCAGGGTTGGGATTGGGTGAGTAAGGATGTTGTCTTCATTTCTTGCTAAGCTTCAAGAAATAGTGGAGGATAGAGGAGCAAATACCTGAAAGGAAAACTGAATAGCAGAATAACTCAAAGAGAAAACTCTCAGTTCCCAAACAGCCTATAAGATGTGATAGTAAATGGTTAAAGAGATTTGCTTGAATCCTTCATCCTTCAAATTGCTTCAGGTTAAATAACATTTACATGTGCCTTGTATGTATCAGGTACTGTCCATATGAAGCAGCATGGTATAGCAGATACATAGCCTGCATTTCCTTCTTTGGAAAGTATGTCCAATCCTCATAAGATTCTAGATCTAAACACTACACAGGCATTCCTCTGAGATATTGCAGGTTGAATTCCAGACCACCACAATAAAGCACGTATCACAATAACACAAGTGTAATCTTTTTGTTGGTGGAAGGTCTTGCCTTCAATTTGTAAAAAACAAAAAAAAAATTTGTTAGTGCAAAACACATTAAAAGGAAGTATGCTTGTACAAATTTTATCTGTTGACCCATGATTTAGAACACAAGCTTTGAAGTACCTAGCTCTAATCCAGTGATGGCGAACCTTTTGAGCTCAGCGTGTCAGCATTTTGAAAAACCCTAACTTAACTCTGGTGCCGTGTCACATATAGAAATTTTTTGATATTTGCAACCATAGTAAAACAAAGACTTATATTTTTGATATTTATTTTATATATTTAAATGCCATTTAACAAAGAAAAATCAACCAAAAAAATGAGTTCGCGTGTCACCTCTGACACGCGTGTCATAGGTTCGCCATCACTGCTCTAATCTCTGCATTGTCAAGTAACTAATCCTCCTTAAATCACAGATTACTTATTTACGAGTTGGAGATAATATCGAATTGGAGATAATATCGTGTAGTCTGTGACTTTGTTGCCCTTCAATGGACCACCCTCCTGTTAGTCACACCTTCGTGGAGACGCTTCCACTTAAATCTGGACTGAGCCAGTGACTTGCCTTTGCCAGGAAAATGCAGCAGTGGAACTGTGCTAGTTCCCCACCTAACCCTTGAGAAAGTGTGGAAGTTTCTACTTAGAAGTCTTAAGCCACTAGGTAAGAAGTCCAATTACTGGAGAAAGCACATGGAGAGAGAGAAAGTGAGGCTCTGAGATATGTGAAGAGAGGGAGAAGTCCAGCCATCCCAAATCTGAGCTGCACCCAGCCCCCAGCCAGCCCACCAGTTGACTGCAAACACATCAGTGACAGTAAAAGAACCAGAGGCTAGCCCAGCCCAGATTGTAGACCTGTGAGCAAATAAAATGGATAGTTGTAAGCCACTAAATTTAGGAATTTTTTAAATACAAAATGGACAGTCTACAGATTAAATAAGAAAATGCAAATAAAGTTTTTAACACAAATTCTGTTACATACTAAAGCACTAAACAAATAATGGCTGTGATGTAAGACCCCAAAGAATAGATAATATATTATGTATCCCCATTTTATAGATACGGAAACTGGCCCAATGGATTTTAAAGTATTTTGTCCAAGTACGTACAATGAATTTGAAAAAAAACAAAAACAAAAAAAACACCTGGGATTCAGCCCAAGGTTCATAATCCTAGATCAGATTGCTTTTTTCTACTCTCCCAGCCTGTGTGAGCCAGAAGTTTCTCCCTGTTATTGTCATTTTAAATCAGTGTGATACCTATTGCCTGCCTATCTCATAGAGAAGCTCCATAGCGCTTATAAGATAATTCAGAAGACACTCCTGCCCATATGTAAATCTTTCTCTCCACTTGCAAAGATTTTCCACTGGAAATTCATGACTACTTCCAAAATTTCCCCTCAACACACTTCCTACTGAAAGCGTCCCTCCTCCCTCTCTGTCCACATCCAATCAGGTAAGTGCTGTGGATATTTTCTTCTGGTTTCCCTCAAATTCACCCCTGCTGTCCCTCCTCCCCCTACAGGACTTTATCTGAAAGTGCTGCAGTGGCCTCCTAACTGGTTGTTCTGCTTCCAGTCATTTCTGGCCTCCTGTTTTCATGATGTCATCTCTTGGCTCTCAAGTTTTTAGCAACTGCCCACAAAAATAAAGGTCAAAGCTATTAATCTAACCCCAAAGTCTCCCAACAAACTGCCATCTCCTAGCTTTCCGACCTTGATTCTTACACAAATGTGTCCTTCATCCGCTCCAAACTCGGATCAAAGCCTATTTGGCCTGTTCCTTCACCACGGCTCTCTCTTTGTTTGAACTCTGCTCATAACTGCCCTCCATACTCTGTTGTCAGCCTTCATTAATCTCTCCCTTCTTTCCCCTACATTCAGGTTGTTCTTTCTTTTTCACTCCCTTGACACACAATTATACATAACACTGCCTTATATTATAACTTTTACCTCAGTATCACTTGCCTCTCCAGCTGGCTGGGAACTAGCTATGGGGCTAGAAGCATCTTACATTGCTTTGCGGAATTGTTCTTCTGGAGGCCGTCTTTCCCATTGCTCTCTCAGCACCACTGGTGTACTCGTCACAATTTTTAAGGTATCGCCCCATTATTCACAGCAATTTTGGCACTGTGTATGGACTCAACTCCTAAACAGGACCGCAAGCTTTTTGAGGACAATTGTAAGAGGACTTCATTTTCTTTTTGTTTTCCCCATGCGTAACAGAGAGTTCTCCACACAGGAGTGTCCAGTACATGTGGTCACCTCACCCAGTGGCTGTTGTCCCGACTATGTTCATCTGCCATTTTTGCCTCAGGTCAGCCACAAGCTGCTTTTCTCAACCCTATGCCCCTGAATTGCTGACTTGATCTGAGTGATTGCAGCTACGGTGAATGGTCAGAAACTTGGTGGGGTGGTGGGTGAGTTGTTAGAGGACTCTGGTCCAGGAGCCCTTGAGGCAAAACCTGCTTGGACTTGTTGAACCAGTATGAAAAAAAGTCCAAGAGCAGGGTCACCATTAAGAACTGAAGAGGAGCAAAACAGACAAGAGCCTTGAATAGATAAGAGTTTGATTAGCCCTAGCCAGTTTGGCTCAGTGGATAGAGTATCGGTCTACGGATTGAAGGGTTTTGGGTTTAATTCCTGTCCAGAGCACATGCCTGGGTTGCCAGCTTGATCCCCAGTAGGGGGCGTGCAGGAGGCAGCCGATCAATGATTTTCTCTCATTGATGTTTCTCTCTCTCCCCGTCTCTGAAATCAATAAAACTATATTTAAAAAAATAATATTAATGTTTATTTCAACAGGAGCGTAAGAGTTGACCAGTTTCTTGACAAGTCAAGCATGACACTTTGTTTATTCATAATTCACCACATCCCAAGTGTCCGGCAGTGTGGAGCATACATTAAATTTACAATTACTTAAATCACAATAAGTTGGTGTTGCCACCTATTTTTGCATTTACTCTTCCCAGGTGCACATCTCATTGTCACACTTTGCTTTTGTGGTCCTAATAATGCATGACTGGCTTGCTGATAAGGAAGATAATCTATATACTAAAAGCCTAAGCTACCCTTATGTTGGAACCACCAGAATGACCAGTCGCTATGATGCACACTGGTCACCAGGGGGCAGACACTTAACGCAGGAGCTGCCCCCTGGTGGTCAGTGCACTCCCGCATCCAAGGCAGCGCTATGGAGCAGTGAGCTGGGTGGTAAGGAGCGAGGGGTCCTGGGCTGAGAGGATGTCTACCTGCCAGCTTAGGCCCTGCGATCAGGCCTATGCCAGCAGGCGGTCATCCCCCAAGGGGTCCCAGACTGCGAGAGGGCACAGGCCAGGCTGAGGGACCCCCCCTTCAGTGCACAAATTTTGTACACAGGGCCTCTAGTTTTAATATGATGGTGATGATGATGTATGGACTGTCTTCTGCCTAATGTTATCTATTGCTTCAGCAATGAAGTTGGACCAGAGGAAAAAGAAATTTCTGAGATTTAGTCTTTAATTAGGTACTATGTACAAGTTATTTATCTTTTAGTGTTTTCATAGTATTTCTTAACTGTAAAAAAATATTTTTAAAAGAAAAAATTATTTTAAGAAATATTTTTTTAGAAAAGA